TTGTCAGGTGCAACTCTGAAAAGGGTAGAGCTCTTGCAAGAATTGCTAACATGTGGGAAAATGAGCTTTGCTGGGTTTAGGAGAAGGGATTATTATATAAAGTCTGTTTCTTAATGTCTTTATACTATTTTCTGTGTTTGAATCCTCACTTTTGGAATTTATGATGACTCAGGTTATGATGTGTATATAGGGCTCTGCTTTGGTGTGTTAATATGTTACAGTATTGGAAGATGTTCCAGCAATGACACTGAAATATACTAGTAAGAAAAGAAATTAATTTTGATATTTTGATGGTCTTTAGTTTCATAACCACTGAACAAAGCATAGAAGAGTATACTCTAAACAGATCAGTGATTTATCTAATATTTTTTATCTCAAGCTAAATGACCTGAACTTTGGGAACTATACTGATACTGTATTTTGATGAATTTCATTTGGGGGTCAGAAGGCAGGAACCCATAAGTTTGGGTCTAGTAAGACTTTCCCTGATGAAATTGTTATTTTCTACATCAGTAATTCTCAGGAACATGTCCATCCTAAATACAAGATGAAGACTCAAATAGTATAACTTAGATTTTTCTGAGAGATGTGTTTTGTGTATTGGGGCCTACTGGCTATTGGATGAAGAAGTAAACATACATGGAGCTGTCTCATTAAGAAGGACCATAGCTTATTCTGGGAATGCAAATCTGAGCTTGAACCTGTACATGATGAGAATGTGTAAATGATCTTTCAGGTGTGCTTGGATTTTTGTCCTGTGAACAAAATAATAAATTGTAACATTTGAAAGTTAACATTAATAAAATGTTCAAATTTCCCACTTAGTTTCACCTGTAATGAGAGAACATGGAAAGAATCTATGCCTGTGCTTAAAGCAAAAAATTATGGTTCAGATTGAATGACACAAACAGATTCAAAGTAAAAGGTTAGAAAAAGATGTTTCATAAAAATGGAAATGAAAAAAAATCTTGGGTAGTAATACTTTTATATCAGGCAAAATAGACTTTAAGACAAAATCTACAGTGATTAAAGAAGGATGAAGCATGCAATTCCATTTCTGGTTATTTGTCCAATGAAACCCAAAACATTAATTTAAATAGATATATGCATCCATATGTTTATTGCAGCATTATTTGCAATAATCAAGATATGGAAGAAACACAAATGTCCATCAATAAATGAGTGGATAAAGAAGAAGTGGTGTATTTATACAAGAAATATGACTCAGCCATAGAAAATAATGAAATCTTGCTATCTACAACAACATGGATAGACTTAGAAGATATTGTGCTAAGTTAAATAAGTCAGACATACAAAGACATATACCATATCATTTCACTTTTATGTGGAATTTAGAAAACTAAATAAATAAACAAGCAGAACAAAACATTTTGACAGTTGCCAGGTGGGAGGGGGATTACAGTCTGGGTGTAAAAGGGGAAGGGATTAACAAGTACAAATTGCTAGTTATGGAATAATCATGGCGATATAATTATCAGCAGTGATAGGACTGAGGCTGATGATGAGCTATATATATGTAATATATAGTTGATATCATGCAATAATGATGTATAGTATCAGATGGGTACTATATTTATTGGAGTGATTATGTCAGTAGGTTATATAAATGTCCAATCACTACGTTGTACACATGAAACTAATAAAATATTGTCTTCGAGCTATAATTGAAAAAAATTATTTAAAAAAAATAAAAAGAAACTCAATATGAGTGGTGCCTTGAGTCAGGACAAGGTTTTATAGAATTTAAAACTAAAAAAATATTTTTAAATGTTCACTGTCTTCACATAACAGATGAGGACTTTGAAATTCACTGAGGCTGCTGATTTGTTCCATGTCATGCATCTTATTTGTGGTTGTGCAAGGCCCAGACTGCAGAATTTCTAACTCACCATCTCAGGCTTCTGCTCTTTTTTTTCAAGTCAGTCCTTATATTACTTGTACTTCATTTCTTTATAGTTCCTTTTATGTAGAAGAAAACATTCCTTCAACCTTAACGGGTCTAGATTGCTTTATATTCTATCTAAACAGCATATGAGTTTCCTGGTGATTGAAAATTTGTTCTGTATCTTTATACCTCAGATTCTAACAAAGTTCCTGTACCAGGGTGAATTATGACTTCTTTGCATTAAAATAAAGAGAAAGCAGGATATAAAATATTAGAAAACAGAGTGAAAAGATTAAAATGGCAAAATCTCGTTGGTTAGATTTATGCATGTCGAGAAGACCCACAGTCCTGCAGTGACAGGACTGAGGCTGATGATGAGCTATATATTCAAATGTTATCTTAATTAGCTTTTATTAGTGGCTAATAAATAATGGTAACATTACAGTGAGTAATGGTTGTTCATGTTAAGAGATTAAGTGTAAATCTTGTCTTAAACAGATTTTACAATTTTATAATCAGTATTTAAAATGGCTGATTTTAATGTTTAAAACAATTTAGAGAAAGCATAAGATATATAGAATGCTTCATAATCTAACATTCAAAGAGAAACACAGGAAATCTGGTCCTTGAAACTATGAAGTGACTAACCAGATATGGTTAAGATGAAGGATTTATTGGTAATTTTAACATTACCAGAAATTAAAGTCTCATCTCCTATCACTGTTAGTGCATCAGACAAATGTCTAAAAGGATATTTCAACTGACACTGGAGATTGACCTAAGAATACATTTTAATATTTTCACAGGGCATGGCAGTGGCCTCAACCTGCAGCCCCATAATCCCAGCTGACACAGTATCCTGTTTTCAAGTAACTTCTTTGTGCATCCCAATCTCCAAAGCATAATTATACCCCTTTCTCTCCATCTATAAAACACATTTTTTTGTTTGTTTAAAAATGTTTATATAGGCTGTCTTTTCTTAATTTCCAGTTTTTACCCAAACTCCAGCTGACTCATCTGCCTGGGGTGGAGAAGAGGGTATAAGGGGACTAAATAACAATACAAAATAAATAAGTAAAAGTAAAAAAATTAAATGTATCATAAGACATTAAGCCCTGTACACTAAATTTTGGGACCATTTTTTTTTCATTTATCTACTATGTATTCAATACCTGATATGTGCCAGATATACCAGGATCTAAGAATTGAGGATATGGTTGTGAGCAAAAAAAGAGAAGATACTTGCAACTCTGGTACCTTTTGAAGGGAATTCAATTTAAGGGAAATTTAATTATTAAGTAGAAAAACAAATAGGAAAAAAAGAAAAACATCACATAATGTGTTTGATCTAAAACAGGAAATAAAGTCCATTTTGGATGTAATTATTGGGGAGGTACTCTTTATAGGGGTAATTTGTGAATTGCTATTATGAATGCTGAGAGGTTAATCATTTGAGCATACAGGGTAAGACTTTTCAATCAAATGGAGCAGTAAGTACAGAGGCCTAAATTGAGAACAAACAAAAGTCCAGGAAGTAGTGGACGTTCCTGTGGTGGGTGGGAAACAGCCACAGGGAAACTAAGGCAGAAGTCCAGGGCAGTGGCTGCTGGGGAGAGCTGACTGCAGTTAGCAGAACCTCAGTTTTAAATCAGGTAGAGAACTGGCTATCATCCTAGAACTGACGGAGGACTGGAGGTTAATGTAGAGTAAACAAGGGAAACTCAGGTCAGAACCAATGCAGGGACCCAATCCAACAAAGTAAAGTTACAAAAGAAAAGGCTGAAGTTTAAAACCCAGAACCTATCATCATGTTGTTACTAGAGAAGATATGATACAACACAGAGATGTTATATCTTTGCTAAGTTTAATTGGAATGATGCTCAACACTAAAGCATTGTCTTCAAATATTGAATGATTGCATAAGTGCATCTGTATTACTCCTAGACTGATGCCACTGGGGGCAGATCTGAGCCAAATGGTAGAAGATCATTGAAACTGGCTGGGGCAGCTGTAAATTAAAGAGAGCTAAAACAATTACCCTTCTTGAGATACTTTACCAGGGATTCAAAGGTCTGGGATAAAGCAGGGGTGGGGTGGGGCAAGTTCAGCATAGTCAATGAGGGGTTTCAAGTTTTCTTTCTATGCCTAAGTATTTAATAACACCTTCATGTATTCACCTTTTTATTTTTATTAAGGTAAATTAACATAAAATTATCTTAGTTTTAGATGTGGCAACATAATGATTAGATAATTATATATATTGTGAAATGATCACCACAATAAGACTAGTTAACATCCATCAGCATACATGGTTACAAAACAGCAAACTGTTTTTCTTATGAGAACTTTTAAGATCTACTCTCTTGACAGCTCTCAAATAGGCAATGCAGTATTATTAACAATAGTCACCATACGGCACATTACATTGCCATATTTTATTTTTTAATAAATAAAAGTTTGTATCTTTTGACCATTTTTACTCATTTTGCCCACCTCCCCCCCACCCCCCCGTGCCTCTGGCAACCATCAATCTAATTTATTCTCTGTATCCGTGAGCTCAGCTTTTGTTTTCTTTTGCTTTTTAGATTCCACATATAAGTGAGATTATATGGTATTTATCTTTATCTGATTTATTTCACTTCTTTTTAACTTAATTTATTGGGGTGAGATTAGTTAACAAAACCATCCAGGTTTCAAGTGTATAACTCAGTAAAACATCACCTGTAAACTGCATCATGTGCCCATCATCCCAAGCAAAGTCTCTTTCCATCTCTATTACCCACCCCCATTTGCTCACCTCCACCTGGCCAAAAAACGTATGTAGACATAACACATTGACTTATTTTACTTAACAAAATGCCTGCAAGTTCCTTTGATATTGTTGCAAATGGCAAGATTTCCTACTTTTATATGGTCGAAGAATACTGCATTGGAGAAGTGAAAGTAAATATTGTGATAGTGGTTGAGAAAGGTTTAAGTTCAAGATGAGGGTTAACAGCATGGATGTCCTATTGTATTTCTTGTGGCATTCAGATAAAACCATCACTACTACGTGCACAGACTTCCATAATCCCTGATCTTTGACTCACTCCTCTCAATAGTGATACCTGAGTATCTTGAGAATTCCTTGCTTGATTTCCTTGGTTCGTACTCCATAAACAATGGGGTTCAGGGCTTGTGGAATAAGATGATGCAAGACATTGAGAAGAATGGGCACTTCTGAGGGTACCTTCTTTCCTTTCTTGTTTGTAAAAATGAAGACTAACAGCAATGTATAGAAGAATAGTATAAGGATGAGGTGGGAACCACAAGTACTCAAGGCCTTGGTGGCTGCCCCTCCTGACGGCTGACGTATAACAGCCCGCAGGATGAAGCAGTAGGATAACAAGATGAGTACCAGATCAGAACCCAGTAGGCACCAAATACTCACAAACTGGTAGAGCTTATTTAGGAAAATATTCCCACAGGAGAGCTTTGCCACCGAAATGTTGGCACAGATACAGTTCTCTATCACGTTGCTGGCACAGTAGTTAAGCCTGGCAGCCAGAACTGGTATGGGCAGTGTGGCCAGAAAATTTCGCAAGACAATAAAAATGGCCGCATTAATGACAAACTGTTCAGTGATGACAGATGTGTAGTGCAGTGGGTGGCAGATGGCCACATAGCGGTCATAAGCCATGACCAGAAAGGTGGAGGACTCCATAGGAAGGAAGGTATTCATGATGAACATCTGCAGGAAGCAGCCAGAAAAGCTGATGGACTTCATGTTGAACCAGAAGATAAGCAGGACCTGCCAGAATTATTATTCTCAAAAACTGTCCACCTATTTCCACCTTAGAATAACAAACCCTGAAAAATCCTCAGATGGCTTCACCCATCCATAGCCTCAACCTGCAGCCCCATAATCCCAGCTGACACAGTATCCTGTTTTCAAGTAACTTCTTTGTGCATCCCACATCTCCAAAGCGTAATTATACCCCTTTCTCTCCATCTATAAAGTACGTTTTTTTTTTTTTTTGTTTAAAAATGTTTATGTAGTCTGTCTTTTCTTAATTTCCAGGTTTTACCCAAACTCCAGCTGACATATCTGCCTGGGGTGGGGAGGAGGGTATAAGGGGACTAAATAACAATACAAAATAAATAAATAAAAAAATTAAATGTATCATAAGACATTAAGCCCTATGATCCAACATTTATATTTAAACACCCCAAACCTCTTTATACTCATGAGAAACATTTTCTGATTAATTTTCCTATCTCACTGTATGACATAAACATACATCCTGTTACATCTTAGAAAGTAAATTCTAAAGGCCTTGGATGTAAGAGTGGGGTAACTTAAAGTCAAGGAGAATCACCCTAGGAGTAAAAAAAAAAGGGCAAATGTTGGAATATCACTGATTCAGACATTGAGAGAGGGCCTGTCATTTGGGAAAGAATAAAATCCTGTAAAAAAAAACATGGATATTGAGAACGAGAGGGGACATGTCTTAGTATGGACCTAATGTGATTGTGCAGGCTACTCACTGAGGATTTTCCTTCAGGGGTAGGAGAATTCATAGCAGAAAAAAAAGTACTGGTTAGAGAATATGATTGGCTGCCTGAGAGTGAATTCAGAAGTCAGGGAGGTACTGACCTTGGGGATGACTGTGAGGCAGAGGATGACATCCAACAAAGAGAGGATGGCAAGCAGGTAGTACATGGGCTTATGTAGAGATGCCACCTTCCAGATGGCAAACAATAGCACAAAGTTGGCCCCAAGAGCTAAAACTAGGAGGGGAGCCAGGACTATAGAGAGCCAGTGCTGTGTGTCCTGCATGCCTGGAAAGCAGATTATCAGGAATTCAGTCACCTGGGTCCCTGTGCTGTTGAGAGATAATACCATGACTGGCAGGTGGTCCTGGGACTGGCTGAAAGAAAAGAGACATGAATTTAGGGATTGACTGTTTCATTAAAAACCTCTTAACTAATCTATCTGCCTCCACTGTTTGTAAGGTTTCTCCATAATTCTGTTGGCATAAAATCTGTCTAAAATATAAACTGGACCACACCACTCCCTGTTAGAACAATTTCCTTATCATCCATAACTTAATGAATAAAGAATAACTCCCTTCACATGAGTATATTCCAACTGCATACACACAGGCCCAGCCACCTGAGCGTGCTTTTATTGGTCTCATCTCTGTGTTTCTTGCATGTGTCATATCCTTCTTATAGAATCAACTTTCTTGCCCTCTAATAACTAACTTCTGTTCATCCCAGTCTATCTGTACAAAAAGTGTTACCTCTTATAAATGTTTGTTTCTTCTTACTCTTTTGACATACATAGTTAAATACTTCTTCTTTCCATGGTTTCTCTATGGTCCTTAAATATCCTGATCATGCTGTTATCAAAGCATTAATAAAACTTTTCCTATGCTCTTTGAGGTTTCCTAATTGTTTTTCAAAAAGTCTGTGCCACATCTGCCAGCAATGGAGAAAAACTCAGTGCACCTGGTAACAAAGTAGGCACTCAGTAAGTATAGTTCAGGTACATGGACTTACAGATTGTTGAAAGTGTCATGATGTCCTTGACTAATTTAATTTAACATCCTCATATCTTGCTCTACTATAAAAATTCAGCATTCTTGCTTAATATTTTGTAAAAAGCTGAACAAAGCAGAATAGGATAAAAACTAATTTGGTGATGAAAAAAAAGTAATCTTGTGATAGAACAACAAATACAAAAATACCTGTGTAGTATCTTATTGAATTTGTATATGTATTTATTAAGCAACTGCTTAAAAATATAAAACCCACTTCGTATGTCTGTGGACAAGGAGGAAAAATAAGAAAGTGAGGGTCTAAGACAAGGGGAGAACTGAAGGAATACTTAAACATACCCCAGGATATGATGCTATTCAGACAGGAGCTTCAGTTCTCTTTGAGTATCTTAACCATCCAGATCCTGCTGGTGAAGTGTTGTCAGGTTCTGCTGTGCTGTGCTCTGAAGCAGAGGGAAGATTATCTTTTACAGATGGATGTTTTGGACATATGGTTTGAGGGGCACCCAGGACACAAAAATATGTACCAATCAAGGTTTAAAGTGGTTTTATTTTTTCCTCAAATATATAGTATGGTCTTCTTATCAAGATTTTCTTTAATCTAGACCAGTGGTTCTTCAATGTGGGTACGCATCAAATCACCTAGACTAGGTTGTTCCGATCCCTGAATTCAGTCAGATTGCCAAACACACCCCCAGTTGCCAATTTTGTACATCTTGGGGAGAAGCCCAAGAATTTGCTTTTCTAACAAATTCCTAGTTATGCTGATATTGCTTTTACGGGATCAAGACTGCTGCCACATTGCAGCCAGGCCTAGCCACAGTACCGTCCAGCTTCAGACATCAAATCAGTTGCTTCTCCCATGATCTATAGTTATTTAAACAAAATTATGGCCAATCTCTGGTGCCCCAATTTGAAAGTTACCTTCTTCACATGGACTCTTGAAATTCTGTAGGTTCCTTTTTTAATGGTTTTATCTCTCTGCCTGGATCCATAGTTCTTAGCCACCTGTCCTAGGAGGACCAAACCTCGTTAAAGTCAAGTAAAAGGTTTCATTCATTTGTTGTTGTTTTTTTGACAGTTGGCACAAATCCAGACACTTACACTAAGTCTTTATTGGTCAAAACAGGAATACTCTCTTTCAACATTCCTGCAAGAGACAGACCTGAGCTGACCTACTGTGAGCTCCGCTGACCCACACGGTAACGGGGTCTTTTGCCGTCAGTGATCTTCAGAGTCTTCACAAACTCACATCTGAGGGTACAACAATACTCTAAAGTAAACAAAGAATCAAGAACCAAACTTAAAGTGTTACTGAAGCTTGGCTTTCCACTGTACTGTTCCCAAAAATACTTACAAAGGAAGTCTGCTCCAAACAACAGTTTGATCATTCAGTTGCTTTTAGGCAAAGTGGGACTCCTCAATTTCTCACAGCCATTCTCTCATATTTGTGGCTTTAGCCCCTAGACAACTTTATGAAGACTCTGTATCTATAAAAGCCACTCTCTTGTGGCTGAAAACATGAAAAATTGATTTGGGACTCCTACTCCCATGAGCTCTGGTCTCCCTGTAGGTACATACATGTTTCCAAAGTAAAAAGAGAGATTTCTGCATCTAAACTGAGGTGAAGTGAAAGAGAGTTGTTTCTCTTCACATGTCTGAGAGTTGTGCAAACATATGTATTATTTGTAATAGAAACAAATATCACCCAGGGACTTGGAAGATGTATTTAAGTGATCCGCTAAGAATACAAACATCATTAGACTTATGGCATGACTTCAACTTACCTGTTAGCTGCATTCTAGAACAATGGTTTTTAAAATCAGTACTTTATAATGATTTACTAATTTTTAAGTTTTAGAAATATATTCACACAGGGAAAATATGTCACTTAAGGAAAACAATTATATGGAATCCTGAATAGTAATTTAAAGTGCACATATTTAAAGGGTGTCAAATAGAAGGTGCCATAAGGAGAGGGGACTTTGGGTGGTAAGCACACAACAGAATGTACAGATGTCATATTTTAAAGCTGCACACATGAAATTTTTATAATGTTATTTACCACTTTATCCCACTAATTTTTAGCAAATGAAGAAATAATACATTTTATAATGATACCAAATTTCTTGAAAATAATTTTGAACAAGCCACTTAAAAAGATTAATAAATCTATTTTTTATATTTTAGAAGATTTTATTTATTTATTTTTAGAGAGAGGGTAGGAAGGGAGAAAGAGGGAGAGAAACATTGATGCGTAGAAGATACATTGATAAGCTGCCTCTTGCGTGCCCCCAACTGGGGACCTGGCCTGCAACCCAGGCATGTGCCTTGACTGGGAATTGAACAAGTAGCCTTTCAGTTCAGAGGCCAGGACTCAATACACTGAGTCACACCAGCCTGGGCAATTTTATATTTTAGTACTTTGTTTTTAGTACATTTATTCAGAATAATTTGCTTTGTTACAGAATTATTTATTAAACTGTTCTGTGCCAATGGTGAAGGTTTATCTAATGATTTATTATACTAAGAAAAGCTTTCTTGCATCTAAAATAAAATAATTATAAACATTTTTTAAAGTAAATACATTTAATTAGACTGTAGTAAGTCAAGGTTACATGTTTTTATTCTATGGTTATCACCAAAATAATAGTAAAAAAAGTTTGCATAAAAATTAGATTAATCAAAAATAAAATAAGAAACTAGGAAAGGGGAAGGTCAAACAGATGAATTAAAAATACAAATCATAAGATGGTATCTATAAAGCAATCGGTAGTTGTATTATGTAAATAGGCCAAGTGTTCCAAGAAAGAGACAAAGACTACCAGATTGAATATATCCATGTTGCTTACAAAAGATACACTTTAAATATAAACATCCAGAATAGCTGAAAACAAAAGAATAGAAAAAAAGTGTGATGGAAAGACTAACCAGGGAAATATCAGGTAGCTACTCTAGTCTGATTAATGCAAGCGTGAAGGCATGAAGCTTGTCTCAAGATAAAGAGAGACACTTCATAATGATGATGTGATCATAAAAACTATAGGGCTATTAAGTCTGCATGGCCTTAAATGAAACATAGTTAAAATTATTAAAGCTAATATTGGAATTTTAATTCACCAGAAAGTGCTTCCCCATGGGCCCCAGAACAAAACTGTAGACAAATGAGAAAAACTTTTTAAAAATCCTGAGCAAGAGCAGAGGTTTTCTCTCTTAGGTGCTAGAAGGTACTTCTTTATCATTGGTGAAGTTTAAACAAATCTTGGATGTCTAGCTACTCAATATTCCATGCTCTGGTTTCTATTCCAATTATATAAAATTTTCACCTTTTACCCAATGTTCTTTAGTGGGAATTCCAAGAGGACAAAAGATTTGAAGACTCAAAATCACTACTGATATGGAATCCCAGGTATCCAGAAATAATAAAAATATGGCCAGTGTGGACAATCCACCAAGTATTTTTGTGTGCTTCAAGAAGTAAATTGTAGAGAATTGAGCTATTCCAATAAAAAATGAAATAGGGCCACAGTTACCAATGAAAATTAATCTCAGGAAAAGAATTGCTCAATATCTGAGTCTCCATTATTTTCAGGGAATGATCAGGGTGAGAACTACAAAGAGAATGGATTTATCTTTGTTAAGATAACTCACCAATACAAAGGCCTGGATGCCATAGGAAACTATGTTGTCACCAGCACAGGACATAAAGATGAATGCAAGAGGAATGAAAATAGGCTAAAAAAAGTAAATTTAAGTATATCTAAAATAAGCAGGAGAGAGTGGGGATGCAGGCCACGTCTGAAATCTAATGGAAAATTTGGGTAGGATGATATGAAGTCAGAAGTTGGTAAAGGACAACTAAAAAAAATAAAAACAAAACCCTTACTTAAAGCACACACAGTGTTCCTAATTCTAGAAATATATCCTAAGAATCTCAAAATGCCAATTCAAAAGAATATATGCACCCCTACATTCATAGCTGCTCTGGCCCACAGAGCAATCAACTGGAGCTCGACCACCTTCCTGGAACAAATGGGTTGGGGGGACAAGAGGTGCGAAGAATGGCAGCAAGACAAAAGATTCTGATCAAGCTGCAAACTTTATTTTTTCGAACTGGGTATATATATAGGGGAGGAGGGAGAGGAAGAAGATTAGGTTGTTTGCTATTGGCTAGCTTGAGACAAAGGAGGGCCCGCTTATTGGTTACTTGGGTGTAACTTGTACTCGTGGACACCTCATGTGCCTGTAGCCAATTGGCTTGTGGAGCACATGCACACCTCATGTGCCTGTAGCTGATTGGCTTGTGGAGCGCCTGCACACGGGCGCTAGCCGGAGGTTATTTGGAAAGTCCTTGTTGATTACAGGTTCCGGACTGTGCCTTGCGGCCAACCGCAATGTTTTTAGCTAAAGGCCAGGTGCTGGAGACCTGGGGCAAGGTTCCCAACACATAGCAGCACTATTCACAGAAGCTAAGATCTGGAAACAGCTGAAGTGCCCATTGGTAGATGCGTGGCTTGAGAAAACTGTGGTACGTTTGCACAACAGAATGCTACACAGCTGTAAAAAAAACAAGGAAACTTACCTTTTAGGACAGCATGGATAGACCTTGATATTATTATGCTAAGTGAAATAAGCCAGTTAGAGAAAGACAAATATTATATAATCTCATATATGGAGCCTAATAAACAAAATAAACTAACAAACAAAATAGAAACAGAAACATGGGCACATGAAACAGAATGACAGGTCTCAGAGGGGAGGTGGGAAGGCAGGACTGGATAAAGGAAGATGAAGGGATTAGCCAAAAAAAACATATATACATAACACACACAGACAACAGTGTGATAGTGGCCAGAAGAAAATGGGGTGAGGGCTGGGTAGAGGCAGGCAAAGTATAGGGGGAATGGGGACAACAAAGAAGCATATACACCATCAAGTCATCTTAAAATTTATTTAAAATTATTCTCAAAAAAGAAAAGAGCTACAGGAAATTTATATTACAGAGAGGTATCATGAGAAAAATGTATTAATAGGATCTGGCAGAACTAGAGGAGGCAATGATAGCATATGCTGTTCGATCAACAAGAATCCAAGTTCTGGAGCCAACTTTCTACATGTCCACAAAAGACCCATTCATGGCACAAAGCCAATTTGATCTGTAGATTGTATCTCATGTAGAACCAAGAGATCTCATACATATCTAAATATTAATTGAGTACATTGAGAAGGATTAAAAGTGACTAGACTACCACTTATTTCTTATTTTAAAAACAATAGTACTCTAATCAAGCTCCTGTGATTATGGTTTGACAAGTCCCTTTCACAGAGATGAAGCCAGGAGAAACTTCCAGGTAACTCCAGAATGCAAAAAAGGCAGTGCAATAGAAGACAGGAGCCAGAATATGGGTTTCTTCATAATCAACTGAAACACTGGGGGGAGAAAAATCCATACTTATTCCTGCAGTAACTATTTAAAATTTTCTATGCATCATGAAAATGATTCCCCATTATCAGCTTCTGTTCCTGAAGTCAAATCTCACTTATTTTAGCTCTTATAGACTCCTCAGCAATTTCTGAATTCCTTGCTTGATCTCCTTGGTTCTCACACCATAAACAATGGGGTTCAGAGCTGGGGGGATCAGGTGGTGCAGAATGTTGAGCAGGATGGGGACATCTGGGGGAATTCTCTTCCTGGCCAGGTTGGTGATGACCAGAACCAGCAGAACTGTGCTGAAGAAGACGATGAGGATGAAGTGAGAACCACACGTGCTCAAGGCCTTGGCTGCAGCACCCTCAGCCTTGATCCTTAGCACAGCTTTCAGGATGAAGGAGTAGGAGAGAACAATAAGGATGAGGTCAGAGCCCAGTAGGGTCCAGGCTGTCACAAGCTGGTAGAGCTGATTGAAGGTGATGTCATTACAAGAGAGTTTGGACACAGACAGATTAGTGCAGATGCAGTTCTTGATGATGTTCTCTGCACAATATCCAAGTCGAGAAGAAAGTATGGGGATAGGCATAGTAAGAATGCCATTCCGAGCCACAACAAATATGGCAGCCCTAGCCACAAACTGATCAGTGATGATGGATGGATATCGTAGTGGGTGACAAATGGCCACATAGCGATCATAGGCCATGACCATGAATGTGCAGGACTCCATGGCAAGGAAGCAATTCATGATAAACATTTGGAGGAAGCAGGCAGAGAAGCTGATGGACCTGAGGTCAAACCAGAAGATGGCCAGGACCTTGGGGATGACAGTGAGGCAGAGCACAATGTCCAGTAGGGAGAGGAGGCTGAGCAGGTAGTACATGGGCTCATGCAGAGATGCCTCCAGCTGGATTGTGATCAGAAGGGTGGCATTGGCCCCCATGGCCAGGAGGAAGAGGAGGCTGAGGGGCAGGGACAGCCAGTGCTGCCAACTCTGGTAGTTAGGGAAGCAGATGAGGAGGAATTCAGAGACTGGAGCAGTGGAGTAGTTTCTGGGTGATGCCATGTAAAGGTTCTTGATCACAACTGAAAGTTCAGAAATCTTTAAAGGTAAGACAAAAATAAATCTATCCAGATATAATAAATACTCATGGATAAGTGATTCATTTTCCAAAGAACCACTGAACGATAATCATAGGTAAGTGTCTGATATTATCTAAGTGCTTGGTAAATATAAACCAATGCAGTCTGTAAAAAGTCCTGCAAGTAGAATGATAGGATGACCATATATTTTTTATTTGCCTGTCATAATTCCCATTTATACCCTTTTTCACTTCTAATGGTTTAATTTGTTTGGTAAGTTACATGATCATCCTTTTTTTGAAAAAAAGATTTTATTTATTTATTTATTTTTAGAAAGAGGGGAAGGAAGGGAGAAAGGGAGAGAAACATGGATGTGTGAGAGATGCATTGATCAGTTGCCTCTTGCACACCCCAACTAGGGACCTGGCCTGCAACCCAGGCATGTGCCAGGAGTGGGAATCAAACAGGTGACCCTTCGGTTCACAGGTTGACACTTGATCCACTGAGCCACTCCAGCCAGGGTGTGAACATGCTTTTTATAAGAAAACACCATTGTTATCTGAATTTTGAAGGTGAGGAAACAAAGGCGAAGGTAATTAAAGTCATTTTACTAAAATCATAATAATGAAGCCATGACAGGTGACTGAGAAGTTTGAATCACAGCCCTTACTGTCTTTTCTGCCTTTATAAATAAAAACCCTTATGCAGGCTCTCCTGCTAGAGCAGATAAAACATAGGCCCCAAACAAATGCCTGTCCCTGTTCTTTCTCCAAGAGAAGCTATCACAGGCAAAGGAGAAATCAGGGCTGAATGCATCACCAGAAAATATATGAAGACTTTATTAGCATTATGACTATCAGTTGTATAGGAAATAGCACCTTAGAGAAGATATTTAAAGTTTCCTAATGTCCTGGGCAAAAAATTTCAGAAGTCATTGATTTTTGTCCAATAGCACTATTCCAAGAGTGAGGGGTACAAGCAGCTGCTGTCTTCATCTCATTGATTACATGTGGATTCTTGCTCAGTCACAAACCCTGACCTGACTACACTGTCTCATGGGTTCCTGGCCTGGTATACCACAACAAGCAGTTATGAACAAAATCAAGACACCTATGAGAAGGCCTATCTCATAACATTGGTTGATATAACCCACTGATACTACTTGTTTCTAATGCTCTGGGGAAGTCCTACCTTACACAGTTTTTGTGAACAGTGGCAGTGATCTTATGAGTCAGCTTCTTTACATTTTCTGAGAAAGTTAAAGCCTGTTCCTCAAAGGCAAGAACAGTGAATATTTGAAGACAGTTTTGGAATTTAGAAAAAACAAATCTGTCCTTCTGTTTTGCCTAATGTATTATCACTTTCCATATAATCTAGAGCAGCACTTCCAATAAAAATATAATGTGAGCCACATACAAAAAATTTTGAGAAGGCTGACAGCCCTGGGGTCAGGTGACTAGGGGGTGAAGGGATAGGAAAAAAAGGACTCATGGACATGGACAACAGTGAGGTGATTGCAGGGATGGGGGGTGGGCGGAGGTGGAAGTTGGTGGAAGGGGAATAAATAGTAATGGGAAAATGCAATAAAAAGCCATCAGGAAAAAATTAAAAGAAAACATGCAAAATGAGTTATAATTACATTTTTTACTCAATATATACAAAATATTATCACTTTAACATGTAATCAATCTAAAAAAAGGAATGTGAATAAAAGACCTATGGACAAATCCAGTGGGGAAGTAGGATTGAGGATGGAAGGTAGGAAGTGGGGGTGGGTAAGCTGAGGGAGAGTGCTGGGAGGAAAATGGAGATAACTGTACTGGAACAACAATAAAACAAGAACTAATTAACATTCTTAGTTTTTCTCTTTGTACCAAGTCTTCAATATCAGGTGTGTATTTGACACTCACAATACACCTCGATTCTGCAAGCCTCATTTTTCAAGTGTTCAATAGTCACAAGTAGGTACTGGCTATCCTATTGGACAGTATAGGTCCAGACTTTTGGAAAACTAAACATCTCTCTTTTTATTTTGCTTAACATATGAGTTTGCCCGTGGTGTTAGTGACATGGTATCTGTGACTCTTGGGTTATATAGGTGAACTCCTTTCATTTAGTTCTATTTCTGGGTCATCTCAAAATTACAGTTTGTACCTTCTTTTTCAGTACTTTTCACTGGTGCTACTTTAGAAATTTCTTAGCAAACTAAGCTTTCAAATTCAGGATGGAAATACCTTATTAAGGACAGAGATAATCAACACATTCAGAGTTCCCAGTTTAGGTGACACATGTTTGTACCAGAGTCGAGGACAAAATCCTTGACTCAGGCTAGACACTACTCTTCCCTCACTTCTACATTAAGCCGGTGGAATTATTTATTTATTTATTTTAAAGAATCAATGTCACTATATCGTAAAGAATGCCAAAATACCCAGATATTTTGAAATGTGTTCACAGGAACACTATTCTTTCATATAACATATATTTGGCAACTATAACTAGGTTTTATTAACAAAGGGTGGCCAAAAATCTGAGGTTCAAAATATAGAAGTAGAATTAGAAAACAACTGTAGCTTCAGACATAATCCAGATAAAAGCCATCAGGTTAGTCACACTGTACCTGTTCCCAGATTCCAGTGAGCTTAAAGAAGTAAATCCATTTCTGTAAACTAATCCACTTTATTCTCAGTTGGTTATAGTGTTCTTTTTTTACTGGATCAATACACCAGAAATATACTATTGATTCCACACCTAGTTTGGAGTCTTCTGGGAGCGTGGTTGTCTGGGCAATGGAAATTCTTTTTTATACCACCTAGAGAAGCAGGAAGGAACACTGGGAGAAAAGGCAGGGTGATCTGGAAAGCCATGAAGGAAAATCAGGCAGCTGGGATTACTGTCCTATCATACATGGTGCTTCTAGGGCAATATTCTCTAGGGGTTACTGAACTGTAGTTGACAATATAAACTCTTGGTCTCCAGTTGACACAGGCTATTAATAAGGAAGGTATAGTTTTAATTTAAGAACACTCACCTTGAAAATCTTTGCTTCTCTAAAAGGGTACTATACAGCTTATACTAGAAAAATTTGTTCTCATATGAAAGCAGTGACCCACCAGATTGGAGGTATTGGTAGCCTCTGAATCTTCAGCACCATATGTGCTATAGTCCTATCAGAATAATTTTCCCTCCTATCTTATACTGCATATCTGGAGTGCTATATGCCTCATAATTTCTATTGTCATTACTTTCCTGGCTCTAAAGCACACCTACTAGATTGAGCAGGATGTACCGTACTGCTGCTACTTATTAATGCTTACCATACCATGTGGACTAGCTCCTCAGAGGCACCAGAGGCTATTTTCAGGGCCCTAAGCTCTATTCTGTCCCTTCTTTCCCCATACCCCATAAGGGCTAAAACCACATTAGGCATCTGATCCTAGACCATAAGCCTCACTCCTGGGGGACATAGGGGAATACGGCAAAAGAGGAGAGAGAGCAGCAAGAGCAGAGAAAACAAAGAAGACAAAATTTAATATGGAAATGTTGATGAAGAGGGAGAGAGTTGAGGGAAACCAGGAAGATGAGAGCTGGGGCAGCATGAAGTGATCTACATAAAGAGCAAATATGCTTGAATAAACATCTACTTCTGCACTTGGGACAAACAGAAATTTATTTTAGACATTAAATGTACTCTTGGATAATTTATGTTTAAATGGAGATTTAATATTATCTTTAAAGTGGAGTTATTTCATTATGGTCAGTTTACAAAATGGGCTATGAAGTTTAACATACTATATGAATATATTATTTTCCCTTATTACCCATAGTGCAGTGGCTTAATTGGAAACAGAAATAGACAAGTGAAACATTTATTGATTTACTTTTTTTACTTTAAATATTTTTCACTTACAATTGATATGTAATTGGAGGAGGAAACCAAGAAGAGAAGAAGGAAGAGGTGGAGAGGGAAAGAAGAACTCATTTATGTTTACGTGATTTAATTTGCATGCATTCAATATACTGAATAAACATTTTTATACTGTTTACTTATTCTTGAAAACAATAAGAAGCAATAAAGGGCAATTGTACAGATAGATGAAAACCATTTTTTAAGGGTTCAGGCTGTTTTTTAATTTTATTTTTATTTATTTTCTTTTTTATTTTATTTTATTATTATTTTTAAATTTTAATTAGTTTTATTTAGTTATTTTTCAAGTACAGTTTTTTTGTCTATTTCTCCCATCCCAGCCTCCCCTACCTTTTGCTCCCCACCTCCCTCCCATTTCCACCCCCCTTAGTTCTCGTCCCTGTGTCCTTCTTATTTGTTCCTCCAAATCCCTCCCCCTTTTTCCCCTTAACTTCCCTTCCTTCTCCCCTCTGGTCACTGTCCCCTTGTTCTCTATTTCAGTGTCTTTGTTTTTTTTTTTCTGCTTGCTTGTTTGTTTAGTTGTTTAGCTTTTTTTAATTTTTAATTTATTTTTTTAAGTATTTACGGTAACATTTAATACAGTAGAGACAAATCTTAAAATGTTCTTCTGGTCCTTTAATCCTTTGTTTCTTCTTCTTCTTCTTCTTCTTCTTCTTCTTCTTCTTCTTCTTCTTCTTCTTCTTCTTCTTCTTCTTCTTCTCCTTCTCCTTCTCCTTCTCCTTCTCCTTCTCCTTCTTTTAATATATTTTATTAGTTATGCTATTATGGTTGTTCCATTTTCCCCCTTCATTCCCCACCACCCTGCACAACCTCTCCCACCCACATTCCCCACTTTACTTCATGTCCATGTGTCATAATTATAAGTTATTTACTTTCTACATTTCCCATACTATTCTTACCCTCCCCGTCTATTTTCTACCTACCATCTATGCTACTTATTCTCTGTACCTTTACCCCATCTCTCCCTCTCCCACTCCCCTGTTGCTGACCCTCCATGTGATCCCCATTTCTGTGGTTCTGTTCCTGTTTTAGATGTTTTCTTAGTTTGCTTTTGTTTTTGTTTTATG